TAGTGCAGGTAAAATTTGTGTTTTTTATGAGCTGTGGCTGTAAAGTTTGCTTTTATTCTTTTTTTTTCCCCTCTGTTTCTTTCTTGATTTTTGGTTTTACTGTAAGTTGCTTCACAAAGGAATGTACTTGTACATTTATAGAAACTGAGGAGGAATTTTAAGTAATGTACCACAGGAAAGGTTGCTGTCAACTGTTTATTTTAATTTAAAATATTTAGGGAGTTTAAAACTGGGTTCCAAAACTCAGGGAAGTGGTAGAGCTGAAAGATGATTATTTCATGTTGGAAGTAGGGCCATGCTTGATAACGAAGGAACAATTTGAGTGACGCAGTAACAAAACGGGTATACTAAATCCTGTTGGTATGCAATATGTCTGTCCTTCACAATTTTAAGGATGCTCAAGTGACACAGAGGAATGGGACACAAAGACCAATTTGACTAAGGTCATACTAAGAATCTGTGGCACATCTCTCCGTTCTGTTCTGACATTCTAGAAGTCATCCTCATCCTTTAACAAACCCTATTCCAAAAAGTTGGACCTGCCACTTCTTATTTCTTCAAACTAAATTTTCACTTTCAGTTTTTGCCAAATGATTATGTTGAGATGTTTCAATTAACTGGGGTTGTACAATAATTAAAACCAAACAATTTTGGTGGCATTTTGTAGGAATTAGTAGTTCTTAGCTGTAGCAGAAGAAACAAGGAAACCACGTAGTTTTTTTCATTGTATAGATACAGCTATACATGGAGTTTTGAGTATGCAGAAAGAATAGATCTGCAGTGGTAGACATATTTTATGTGAGAGATTAAATTCTTATGTGGTATCTAGTTTGTTTAAATCAGATAAAAGGATTCTGCATGTGAAGTAGTTCTTGAGTTGTGTGCCTTGATACAGGCAGAGTGTAAGACTGGCTTCTTAGGCTCCTCTCAAGTCTTGGCGTAGCTCTTAAAGCAGCTGTGTTATACCGTGGCCTATAGGTTAGGCCAGATGGATTGCAGACCCTCACACTGTCCATACTGAGTCAAGTCCTCACATTTTTTCAGTGTCTTAATTTAAGATACCAAGCTCAATAAGCCTTTAAGTATTAGCTTAACACTTGTCTTTTTCTGATGTTTGTCCTAACAAAAAAATCGTGGTACTGCGATTATGCAGTGGAACATGTGTTGATAGCATTGCGTCCTTTCAGAAAGTATTGTTCAGTAATTAGGAATAAAAGCAGAAAGCACTCGAATGGGGTTTTTTTCTGTATTTTTCAGATGGTGGTAAAAACCTTCATGGATATGGACCAGGACTCAGAGGATGAGAAGCAGCAGTATCTCCCATTAGCCTTGCACCTTGCATCTGAATTCTTCCTCAGGAATCCCAATAAAGATGTGCGCCTCCTTGTAGCATGTTGCTTGGCTGATATCTTTCGTATATATGCTCCTGAAGCTCCATATACTTCCCATGATAAACTTAAGGTAAAAATGTTTTATGAAATAAGGACTTTATTCCTTCCTCATTCTCTTACTGAGGAAAAAAAACACTGCCACTCTCCAACCCCCCCCCAAAAAATCAAAACCCTGAAAAAATTCCTTTACTCGCATTTATACTGATGTTCAGTTTTATTAAAGAGATTTTGTTTTAGTCCTGTGAGTCAGTGTAGCACTTTAAGGGGCCAGAGATGTCTAAAGAAGCACTAGATAACCAGTATCTGTGTTGGTGATAGCTTTCTGTCAGTGCCTAAAAAAGCCAAGTTAATGTTCTCTCATCATATGTTTGTAAACGTGGGTAGATGTCACTACTAAAGGGTTGTATTTTTACTGAGTCAAGCTTGTGAACACTTTATCATTTTTTGACAGGACATATTCTTGTTTATTACAAGACAATTAAAAGGCCTGGAGGACACGAAGAGCCCTCAATTTAACAGATACTTTTACTTGTTAGAGGTAACACAATAATCATAACTTTCAGTAGACAGTATTTGCTTTGTAAGGCTAGGAAATGTAATCAGTCTTTCTTCAGACATACTGGTATGCCTGGGAAATTTCTTTTATTCTGTAAATTGCAGTAGACTCATTAAAGTTCAATTAATTGCTTCTTTTAGTGGTTATAATTCTGTTTGCATTTAATAAGTTCATGCAGCCTATAGTTGAGGACATGTTAAAACGATTGGTATTTATTAACATTTAGCCTTTGTCTTACAATTCTGTGCACTTTTTTTCGTATCATGCACCCTTAAGGTTTTATTATCTCATCAAGAGAGAATTTAAAATACTGATTAAAATGCAAATCTGCTTATATTGGTGATGGGAGAAGGAATTTAAGATTTTGGCTTAAAAACATTAGAAAAACTTACTATTGACAAGAAGTGTGGGGGTTTTATCAGTGTGCGTTTAGAAGGTGTCTCATTTATAAACCTTTTGTTGATGCTTAAAACTATTGTTTCATAGCATGAAGAAAAAAGTCTAGAAACATGGATTTATATTAACAATTTTTGTCAATCTGCTTTTATTCATAAGAAATCACATTATTGTATATTTAGATTTTTTCTGAATGTATATTGCAAAGCCCCTTTGTGTTAAGAGCACTTGATATGCAAAGCAAATATCCAGTCTCTTTCCCCAAAGGATTTACAATCTATTGTATAATATTTTTCTTTAAATAGAAAAAATGTAACTAACATGATTATATTTATGTGACTTAGTGTGAACTTGTGATATCCTGAATATCTTATTTTTGTTTTAGAATTTAGCTTGGGTTAAATCTTACAACATCTGCTTTGAGTTGGAAGATTGCAATGAAATTTTTATTCAGCTTTTTAGGACTCTTTTTTCAGTTATCAAGTAAGTTGAATTGCTTCAATTATATTAAACTGTCAAAATATCATCAGTTTTGGGGGTAGGCTGTATCCTTGCATAGTCTTCAAATAAATGTGTCTGAACAGAACAAGGCTTTATTCCTCCAAATGAGGAGATAAGGGGAGAGAAGTGAGTGCCAATTACTGACAATATGGAGGGATGTGTGTCTAAAAGTAGATGTGTTTTAAAATTTCTTGTCCATGTTACACCATTATACTTCGTTCTGACTCATTTATCTACATTTTTATTTCCATGGTGGTTATTTTCTTCTTTTTTGTTTTGTTTCACTTCTTAAAGCAAAGCTAGGGTGTTCTAGGTTTTTGAAGCTTTCTGTAAGAGAGGAAAGGTACATAAAATAGTTTTGAATTTTGAGGTGTGGAGAGTGTAAGGGAGGGCAGGCTGGACAGTGTTAGACATTGTTTCTTAGCAGTACTGTTAATATTTGTCAGGGTCTAAAATTTAGTATTGATAATATTCTTTATCATCTTAGTAATAGCCACAACCAGAAGGTACAAATGCATATGCTGGATTTGATGAGTTCTATCATCATGGAAGGCGATGGAGTAACTCAGGAGCTGCTGGACTCCATTTTGATTAACCTCATTCCTGCACACAAGGTCTGCAAAGTAAAATACTATAGTAGTATACTATTATAGCAATAATTTTTATTGACAGTATATTCTTCTACATCCTCTACAGCGTGGCCAGTCCAGACCTTCAAGGTGTTTTTTCTCCTAACAGACTATTTGTTTATTTAGTTATTATTTGTTAATAGTTGTTTATTTTATCAATATATATTTATTTTCTAGGCTGTTTAGGTGTTTGTTTGGGGTTTTTTTTGGAGGGGGGGTTGTGATTGGGTTGCTGGTTTGCTTTTTGTTTGTTTTGTGGGGTTGTTTTTAGCTCTGGTGAGCCTGTCTAGGGGAAGAAAAAAGACATAACTTAATGTCAAGAAATCTTTGAAGCTTTATTAAAGATCCAAATAAAATATATTTTCTGCATGAAATTGGCAGCCCTTTAGTTTAATGCAGACATACCTGCCAACAAGATTTTAGTCATGGTGTGGTTTGGAGAGAAACTGTTTTGTTTTGAATATGAGAAGAGCTTATATGTATCTGTCTGTCTTCTATGAGACATCAGTTTAGTGCCGTGGTGACTGAGGAGCTATTTTTTTGAGCCTTTGGCCATTTGTTTCTCTTTACCATCAGTTGATGAACTATATTTCAGTTTGTCATCTCATCAGCTAAAAGAACATGAGGGAGTCATTCTCAATGTAGACTTGCCAAATACTGCCTTTCCAAGAATCAGTCATCTTTGGGCTTTACCTGTATTTTGTCTGCAGTCATTTGTAATCTTCAGGGCAATCAGCTAATCCATGGTTGTTTTGTTGGGTTTTTTTTCTTTCTTTCTTTTTTTTTCTCCTCCCTCCCCCACTCCAAGCTACATTAATCCCTAGATGAGATGAGATACTGCCTATTGGATTTTGTGCAGATTTGGACACTCACATTTTTCAGATGTGGAGCTATATTCCTTATCTTACTTGAAAGTAATAAAAACAATTTTCAGATATGTAAAGGTTTGATTGCAACATAACTTGTAAAGTTTGCAGGTAACTGTGCCCATGTGTAGGTGCTTTCTGTGGGCTATCTCAGAGCATACAATACAGTCCATGGAGAAGTCAGTGCACAGTTTTACCCTCTAGACAAGGCTGAACTTTGCTACAGGATGTAGCTTTAATGAGTACATGAGGGGGAGACAAAAACCCATTTAATTAGTAAGTTAGACTAGTTCCTTTTTTCAGTGGCAAAATTTGGTGCACGTTAATTGTCAAAGTATGGAGGAGTCATAATGTTTCTTCGCAATTTTTAAGATGGTTACATGTGAAAACTTTTTATAGATATGAATGCAATGCTGAAGGTTCAACTGGAGTGACAGTCTTAGAAGAATGTGCAAGAAGTGATGATTTTGGGTTAGATTTACGTGTGTGAAAAGTAGTTTTAAGATTTTTTTCTAAGTTTGTAGTTGTGGAGTTAACATAACTGAACTTTAGATATCTTTGAAAACAAATAGATTGATGGTAAAGCATACCTTTCTGAATTCACGGTCTTTTGGGAGATTAAAGTAATCTGAAATAATTTCTCTTTAAAATTTTGTTATTATTTTTTCTTTATTTCAGAACCTTAATAAACAAGCATTTGATCTTGCAAAAGTCCTGTTGAAAAGGACCGTCCAGACCATTGAACCATGTATTGCTAATGTATGTAAATAAATTATTCTCTGTTACCTAGAGATATCAAGTGTTCTTGTTACTGTCTTGATTTACTGGAGATTTTTTTGTTTATTTAAAAGTATTGTTTATAAAAGTCACATTTTGTAAGGTAGCTACAAGAATACAATTTTCCAAATAGGATATTATTAGCTTGGTTGTTAAAGAAACATGGTATTTCAAATAAGTGAAGAGGAAATTAATTATTAGCCAGCTCAGTCTGAAGTTGAGCCTAAAGCTGGGCTGTGAAAATAGGTGACTACCAAAAAATCCTTTTGCAACAAAAGGGAATTGTTAGTACAGTTGAATTTTGTACCGAGCTTTAGGATGAAGCATTTCAAACTCCCAGCTCCTTACTGGATTTTTTTTTTCCATCCTAAACTTGTTTTAGTCATAAAGACTAAAGGAATTGAGTGGTTTTTTTTAAAGGCTTCCTTCTACTATAATTCCTTTTGTTGAACGTCAATGTTGTATAATCTACCTATGAAAATAGCTGCAACAGTCTTAAGGGGATGTAGTCTGGTATATTCTGTTTCCTTTCCTTGGTGCTGAAGCCAATAGAATTCTTAAAAGTCAGAGTAGTTTAAAAAGGGAATTGGGGAAATTCATATAGATTAATCAGAAAGTATTTAAAAGTTCAAGGAGTCTCACTAACAAGTACCACTTTTCAATTCCCCTGTTTCTTTAAGCTTTTGTAATTAGTCATAGCTGGAAACAGGATAGTGCATTGAGTGACCTTTGAGTTGATTTAATATTATTCTTCTTACTTTCTTATTCAAGTGTGTAATATCTTTGTAGCACTGGCACTGCTCAAATAATATCAGTATAAACCCCGAGTATCTAATAGGAAGTATATCAAGCATATTAAAATTTTAAAAATCCAAAATAATTCATATTTTTAGGCTGCTTTGTTTTTTTTTTCTGTTAAATTGCTAACAACCTTGATACGTTACTGTCAACCATCACAAGACATATCATAAAGTCATCTGATATTCTTTAAAATAGATTAAAAATAAAGCTGCCCAGCAGAGAGGGACCTAGGGGTGCTGGTTGACAGCCAGCTGAACATGAGCCAGCAGTGTGCCCAGGTGGCCAAGAAGGCCAACGGCATCCTGGCCTGCATCAGCAATAGTGTGGCCAGCAGGACCAGGGAGGTGATTGTGCCCCTGTACTCGGCACTGGTGAGGCTGCACCTTGAATCCTGTGTTCAGTTTTTGGGCCCCTCACCACAAGAAGGACATTGAGGTGCTGGAGCAGGTCCACAGAAGGGCAATGAAGCTGGTGAAGGGTCTGGAGCACAGATCTGACGAGGAGCGGCTGAGGGAGCTGGGGTTGTTTAGTTTAGAGAAGAGGAGGCTGAGAGGAGACCTTATCACTCTTTACAACTACCTAAAAGGAGGGTGTTGTGAGGTGGGTGCTGGCCTCTTCTCTAAAGTAACAAGTGATAGGACAAGAGGAAATGGCCTCAAGTTACACCAGGGAAGGTTTAGGCTGGATATTAGGAAAAATTTCTTCACTGAAAGAGTGATCA